TGGCCGGAGTTGCTCACTCCTTGGGTATAAAATGGAAACTGTGGGGCACCTGGGTGGCTCAGCCAGTGACGGTGTCTGCCTTCGGCTCAGGTCATGATCCCAGGGTCCTGGGATTGAACCCCACATCGGGCTCCCTGCTCAGCGGAGAGTCTGCTTCTCCCTCTCCCTCTGACCCTCCCCGGCCCTGCTCATACTCTCTCTCTCTCTCAAATAAATAAAACCTTAAAAAAAAAAAAAAAAGGAAACCATATGCTGACTGGAAGGCCCCAGTCTTCAGGCAAAACTGAGCAGGCTAATCAGACCTTGAAGAAGACATTGGCCAAATTGTGCCAAGAATCCCACGAACCATGGCTAAAGCTGTTGCCCATAGCTTTAACCCACTCCCAGGCGGCCCCCACAAGAAAGTAAAGACCCAGTCCCTTTGCAGTGATGAATGGGAGGCCGTCCCCAGGGATGAACGGGGCCCGGCCTGAAGTAGATGTGGAAACAGAAAACGCTGTAAAGCAAATAGTACAGTAAGGGCAAGTTGTGACGGGACCAACCTAAGCTTCCTGTCCCCAGCTCATCCTTATGAACCAGGACACTGGGTAAATGTAAAGACATGGAAAACAGGAACAGCCTCAGCTCGACTACGGCCTTATGGAATGGGCCTTATCTAGTACTGTTGGCCACTCACCCTTCCCTTCAGCTGGATCTGCCATCCCAGAGTAAAAAGAGCTGCTGAGCCCCCATCAGGCAGCACAGAAGGGGACCAGGAGAACTACAGCTGTGACCCAGCATGGGTTCTCAAGCCCCTCTTCAGAAAATCTCAAGTCCCTCTTCAAATGGATTTCAGTTCGTAAAAGAAAACTAAAGGGAAGTCTAAAGCCTAAGTCTTCGTGGGAAATGGCTCCTTTCCCCCTATTTTGTCAATGGGACAAAGTCTTGGAACCTACGGATGCCCTCTCTCACCAGCCCTAGAAAGCCTAGCAAAGAAAGATAACCTTTCCTCTTATTGGTTGCGTGCTCGATGGAATCACACTGGGGATGAGCCAAATATAGAAATACCCCTTGCACCAGAGGTCTTTGTAAGTGTTCCGGTTAAGCCAACGGATATAACTATATAACTTACTCAGCAAAGGGGGGGGCTTCCTCTGGGATCCCCTTCCCAGACAGGAGAATCAGATGCAACTTACCATGAAGTGGTGGGAATAGTACACACCTTACCTTTCGGTGCTGTCATATGCATGCATGGTCTGCATAGACGGGAACAATTGCTTGGACCTTGCCAGCTTCCCTTTGCGATTACGTGGTAGAATACAATCCCACCATTCTCTAGTTCCAGTAAATACAAGCACCGAGTGTAAGGTTAATGCAAGCCTCGCTTCAGGTAATAAAAAATATAATGCCTCTGGGAAATGGGAAGCTGAGTTAATCGGAACTAATCCAAATGGGAGTGAATGGGCTATAGATCAATAGTCTGGTAACACTCGCCAGCTTGTGAACGGTTCCCCTGAACATAACCTGACCAATTCCACCCATCCCCCTGCAATCCCTCAGCTCATGCCCTACCCTAATCTGCCGCTGAGCCTGTACCCACCTTTCCCGCCCTTTGTGCAGATGACTCTATGCCAGGAACAAGAACAGAGGGTAGAGATCTCTGGAAGCCCAGGGACCCTGCTGTAAACACTGATACTTGATCTGCAGAAACTAATCATACGTGGATCTGGGCACAAAGGTACCCCACAGCCATCGTCCTAAAGGGTACTTGTTACTTCTTCCTCTGTGGAGGAAATCTCTTGCTTACCCTCCCACAAAAAAAAGAGAAGGTCCTGTGTGGTGGTCTTTATTCTGCTGGAGGTTTATAACATGACTTCCCTGAGATCAACAGCCCCTATCCCTAACTTGGGCTCATTCCTAGCCACCGCCCTAAATGGGTCAGGAGTCCGATCAGGGGATCCGGGCTAAGAGGGACATGGATTTTGGCATTTTAAGCACAAACAACCCTGTAATACACCAGAATGGTGTTGGTCATTACTATCTATAGGGGCCTTTCCTGGTTCACTGAGACCCAGAACTAGAAAAGTCCATCAGAAATATAACCATTCTTAGGGTGCCTGGGTGGCTCGGTCGTTAAGCGTCTGCCTTCGGCTCAGGTCATGGTCCTAGGGTCCTGGGATCGAGCCCCGCATCGGGCTCCCTGCTCAGCAGGAAGCCTGCTTCTCCTTCTCCCACTCCCCCTGCTTGTGTTCCCTCTCTCGCTGTGTCTCTGTCAAGTAAATAAATAAAATCTTAAAAAAAAAAAAAAAGAAATATATTCATTCTTCAACAATCTTGGAAAGCAACCATAGTGACAACAGAATCCCAGAAAACTGCCCTCCATTCTCTGGCTGACTTAGTATCACAAAATAGAAGGGCGCTCAGTGTCATCCCAGCCCAGGCAGGAGGTCCCTGTGCTCTCCCAGAAGAAGAATGTTGCTTCTATATCAATACCTCTAACCAAGTTGAAGAAAGCCTAGAGGTCATAAAAATAAATGTAGAAATAGGAGCGCCTGGGTGACTCCATTGGTTGTGCGTCCACCTCTTGGTTTCAGCTCAGGTCGTGATCTCACGGATCATGGGACTGAGCCCCACATTGGGCTCCCTGCTCACCCTCTGTCCCTCCCCCCACCCTCTCTCTCTCTCAGAAATAAATACATCTTAAAAAAAAAAAAAAAAAGAGGGGCACCTGGGTGGCTCAGTCGTTAAGCGTCTGCCTTCGGCTCAGGTCATGATCCCAGGGTCCTGGGATCAAGCCTCACATCGGGCTCCCTGCTCAGCGGGAAGCCTGCTTCTCCCTCTCCCACTCCCCCTGCTTGTGTTCCCTCTCTTGCTGTGTCTCTCTCTGTCAAATAAATAAATAAAATCCTTAAAAAAAAAAGAAAGAAATACAGAAATATTAGAAAAATACTGAGCCGTGGCCCTGGGACTCAATCTTTGTCTATCTGGGGGATGGTTTTCATGGTGATGACCTTCGATGGACCCCTGTTAACACTTAACACTACTGTCCTTTTATTGTTTGGCCCGTGCATCTTCAGACTCCCAGTAAACCTTGTCACAAATTCAGCTTCAGCGCGTTCTGCTGAAGGGACACGCGGGGGAAAAGAAAACTTGTCCAGCTTTCGTGAAAGTCTCACTCTTCCAGCTGGGGAGACCGCACGCCCATTCTGAGCAGGAAGCAGCTACAGAAAAACGACCTTCGGCCCTATGCCCCTCAAGGAGGAGGAGTGGTATATCTCAAGGAGGGACTTCGTAGGCAGATAGGGTTAGGGGTCCTCGGAAACAGGAGGGTGAGACGGCGCAGGGGAAGTCATTTTAGGCCTGCGGCCGTTTTGTGATCTCTGCCTGACCGCGCACTACCGGCCCAAGCACGTTTCTTGCAGAACTTCCTGGGAGATGTAGAAACCGCGGAAGAACAGACCTCAGTAGTTAAGGCTTTTAAGGGAACAAAGGAACGTAAGAACAAACAGCCACTCCCAGGCCAGGAGATAGCCTGACCATAGTAGAGACGAGAAATCAGGGGTAAAACTCCCGGCGCTGTTTCAAACGGAAAGATCGACCTGATGCAATCGTTCAGAAAGGATTCGAAGCCTTTTGAGCGCTCAGATTCCAGACATGGCACAGCCTGAGAACTGATGATGCTGACCCTTGCTGGCCTTCGACTTTAACCAACTGAAACCTGTCAACTTAGCATGACTTTTACCCCAATTCTATATTGAATTCCCCTTTGTGCAAGCCCTCTCATGAATATGCATGCACCCTTAACATTTCCCCAGTGTTGTGTTGTTATATGCAACTGCTGAATCACGAAACTCTACCTTTGAAACTAATAATACACTATATGTTCATTAATGAATTTAAATGAAAAAAATTAAATGAAAAAAAATTTCCCCAATGTCGTTATTTGAAGAGGCCCTGCTTTGGGAAAGATCCCCGGTGTTCTCCTGATTTGTTGCAGGTAAAACCCTTTCTTTTCCTGCTCTTCGGCGTGGATGTGTCTTTGGGCTGGACACCTAGCAAGAGGCAAACCCAGTGTCGGGTAATGTCCTTAGGAGTATGGGTCCCGGCTTGGTTTTGGAGCTGGAATTGGGGAGCCTGTGGGAAGCGGCATGTGGTGGGAGTGCGGGGGCTGTGGCTAGGCAAGCGGGAGGGACACCCAACAGGTGTCTGTGACCAGCAGGTCAGCCTCTGCAGGTGTTTGTGCCGGACCGCATCATAGCTGGAAGGATGCTAGATAACCATAGCCATGAGCACCAGAGGAGAGGATGCAGGACCCTGGTGGTGATAAGGGAACAGCCGAATGGCACACACAGGATAGTGTGGATGCAGGATGAGGAAGGTTAGATGTCCCCATAGCCAGTCCCTTTGCCCAGTCTCCCAGGCAAGAAATCCAAGCCATTTTGGTGTCCTGTCTGTCCTATACTGTTTCCATCCCAGTGTGCACCAATGTCCAGCCCAGCTTCTTAAGAAATGTTTTACTATTGGGTGGCTCAGTTGGTTGAGCATCGACTCAGTTTTGGCTCAGGTTGTGATCTCAGGGTCATGAGATTGAGCCCCGTGTTGGGCTCCACGCTCAGTGAGGAGTCTGCTTGACATTCTTTCCCTCTGCCCCTCCCTGCTTCTCTCTCTCTCTCTAAAATAAAAAAATAAATCTTTAAAAAAAATGTTTTACTATGAAGTGGTCATAGTAAAAGACTAAAAGTATAGATAATAAAAAAGCATAGATAAAAGTATAGATATAAAAATATAAAGTATAGATAATAAAAAAGATAATAAAGATGGAAGGAAGGAAGGGAGGGAGGGGGAGAGAGAGAAAAAAAGAGAGAAAGAAAGAAAGAAAGAAAAAGAGAAAAACAAGTTTTAGCAGGATCTGACCCAGGCTATCCAACACAGTAACCACTACCCACGTTTGGGTAATAGAAAAGATAATAAAATAAAGTATAGATAATAATATAGATAATAATATCTGGCTTCAGAGATAAAACATGGAGGCCCCCAGCATCCCTTCTCTGGACGCCAAGCATTCTCACCTTTCTAGATGTAACCTTGGTCTGAATGTGTTGTTTGATATTTGCATGATTTCCATTGTACTTTTACTAAGCACTCCGTATCCACACAACGTGTAAAACTAGTTTGTATGTTTTAAAACATTAGCACTGTCTGAAGGAACTCTGTGGACCTGTTCATTATCTGCACTGTTCAAAATGGTGGCCACTAAGAGCGTATGGTTATCAAGCACTTGAAATGTACCCAGTGTGATTAAAGAACTTCATGTTTTATTTTAATTAATTGAAGTTTAATTTTTTTTTAAAGATTTTATTTATTCATTTGAGACACAGAGATAGAGAGAGAGAGAGAGAGAGAGAAAGCATGAGCAGGGAGAGAGGCAGAGGGAGAGGGAGAAGCAGGCTCCTCGCTGAGCCAGGAGCCCGATGTGGGGCGTGATCCCAGGACCCCAGGATCATGACCTGAGCCGAAGGCAGACACTTAACCATCTGAGCCACCCAGGCGCCCCTTGATTAATTGAAGTTTAAATAGCCAATTGTAAATCAAAGTAAAAATCAAAGCCGAAAGTAAATCAAAGGCTGATGATTCTCAAACACCCCCTTCACATGTGTCTTTCCTTCTCAGGAACCCAATGGCTCCTACCGCCTGTCGCATCTGAGCTCAACTCCTCTGCTTGGACCCAGGCCACCACGACCTGGCCTACCCTATGACGCCCTGTGTTTGCCAACCTCGTTCCAATCCCCTGCACACATCGTGGTGTTCCCACCTCTGTGCCTTCATTTTCTTTTTTTTTTTTTAAGATTTTATTTATTTGACAGAGAGAGATACAGCGAGAGAGGGAACACAAGCAGGGGGAGTGGGAGAGGGAGAAGCAGGCTTCCCACGGAGCAGGGAGCCCAATGTGGGGCTCTATCCCAGGACCCTGGGACCATGACCTGAGCCGAAGGCAGACGCTTAACAACTGAGCCACCTAGGCGCCCCTGTGCCTTCATTTTCCATGTCAGGCTCCCATCTTCTCCTGCTGGAAATGTCCATCTTCCTGCCCCTCCTTCACATACTGAAGTCCATTAATACCTGGGAGAGCCTTGCTCAGGTCTCACCTTCTCTGGGAGAGGTTCTCACTCTGCAGCATCCGTGAGGAAATGCTCATGAAGAGCCTGCCCTCAGGGAGCTCACAGCCTGGTTTTTGCAGGTGATTCCCATCCACTCCGTTCCCAGCTGTCCACACGTCCCTCGCAGCTTAGTGTGGACGCAGCTGTGCAATGGCAACGTGTGTGGGTAAGGCCAGCGTTCGCCAGGAGTGAGGGGCAGTCATAGCTGGCTTCCTGGAGGCCTAAAAAGGAAACTGGAGGTGGGAGGACCAACCACAGCGTTGCCCTGGCCCTCAGCTCCCAGCGTCACTGCACTGGAGGCCCTGAAATGGGTGCTTCCCTGGGCACTGCCAAGAGACTGACGCATATAAACAGGAATGCTTGTTCATGGGCTCACACTTCTCTTTTGGAGACACATCACACGGGAACTTAAGTATGCCTGCTGTATTTTCTTATATTTACTAGATTTTTGTTAGCATAGTTTCAATACTTTCCCTTGGGGGGGTGGTGGAAAATAAGATTTTTAAAAATTTTATTTATTTATTTGAGACAGTGAGAGAGTGCACACAGGTGAGGGGCAGAGGGAGAGGGGGAGGCAGACCGCTGCTGAGCAGGGAGCCCAATGTGGGCTCCATCCCAGGACCCTGGGATCATGACCTGAGCCGAAGGCAGTTGCTTAATGAACTGAGCCACCCAGGTGCCCCAAGATTCTTTTTTTTCTTTTTAAACAAGAGAAAATGGAATATGGTAGATAAGAAAATATGAGTTCCTGATTAGAACAGAGTGAAGAAAACTTGAGGTCAGGAAGGGAAGGAGAGAGAGTCTCAGCTCTACCTGGTGAGGAGAGTCCTCAGTTATGAAAGAGCAAAAATGGGGCTTTTGTAGCGAGTACTAAATGGTTGTGTAAATCAATACTTGGTTAATATGATAAAAATGTTAACATTTGTTAAATTTTAGTGGTGGGCACAGATGCTGTTGGAATTGAGAATATACCCAGAGGGTACAAACAAAAGACCTGGCCCGAGCAGCCACATTACGCACAAGACATTGAGAAAAATGGTATGGTAGCTATACAAATATATGGGAAAAAAATGAAAGAGAGGAACACGCATATATAACTGATGAAAACCAAGTCTAGAAGAAAACGTCATCTAAAGAACAGAAAAAAATTCCCTAAAGCATGCTGAACTATAGAAAAATTAAATAACAACATGATTTCAAGAAAGTAAGCAAAGATGAAATGACAGAATGAGGTAAGAGAACAAACTGAGAGCACTTTCATAAAACTAATGCATCAGAAATAACAAGTGGATATGGCTGAAAAAATAAATTGATCTAGAGGGGAGGCTTGAGAGAATTATGGGAAATGAGAAAAAAGGTAAGTATTAAACAGAGAGAACACCATAGTTGTAAAAGATCAAGGTCATGAAACAAAGGAATAAACACAGCATCTGAAACAGAAAACCCCACAAATGGAAAAGAAAAAGTATTCATAAAGAACATATAAGCTGTGTAGAGACTAGACCTGAAGAGTTCTCATCACAAGGAGAAATTTTTTTTCCTTTTTATTGTATCTATACGAGATGACAGATGTGAACTAAACCTACTGTAGTAATCATTTCACAATATCTGTAAATCAAACCATCATGCTGGACACCTTAAATTTATACAGTGACTTGGGTCAATTATTTCTCAATAAAAATGGAAGAAAAAAAAGAAAGAAAATATAAGGCATTTTTCCACAAAAGAATGGAAATGCAACTCAAAAGAGCACACTTTAGTCCAGGAAAAACTGATAAAGAACCAGAAAGATGGAATTCTTCAGGCAGACCAAAAAAAAAAAAAGGCAGAAGAAAATCGCCTTCATTTTAAGGGGGACTCTGAGGCTGGCCCGTCTTGTCCCTACCAACAGTCAATGCTGCCACATGACAATGTGATGTACCCAAAGTTCTGAGCAAAAGGAAGTGTGATGCAAGAATGTTTTACTCAGCCAAGTTGCATTCAAGTATAAAAACCGCAGAAACATTCTCAAACACAGAAGGTAACAGCGTTCATGAGCCATGCTTGAGGAACTTTGATGAAATTCAGCCAAGTAAGAGTCTGAAAACAATTCAGGGGTGAAAAGTGGTGGTGAAAGTATTACGAGTGAGTCACAAATCAGCTTAACTATAAGATGAGGGCTACGTAACTTTGAGAATTATGGTTTCACAGCAGAAGGCAATGCATGGGTTTTGAGAATATCAATATACATACAGATTAACACAAATTGAGAAGCAGAGGAAGAGATAAGGTGAGAGAAAGAGCAAGCGATTTGCTCATCTTCAGAGCCTTGAACCATGCCATCGAAAAAGAGAAACTTATTTTTAAAGATTTTACTTATTTATTTTTAGAGAGAAACAGAGTACACATGTGAGCAGGGGGAGGGTGAGAGGGAGAGGGAGAGAATCCTCAAGCAGACTTCCTGCTGAGTGTGGGGCCTGACGTTAGAAAACCTTATTAAGAATCATTCTAGTTTCTTGAGGTTTCTCATAATCTTAACCTCAGAGAGATCTTTTAGGAACTGACATTTTTTCTGTGGGGAAGAAATGCCTACTTCGGTTTCTTGTTTCTTCTGTTAGATTCACATAAAATTGCTTTCTTTTATTCTTTAAATAGCATGATTAGTTCCATTTTAATAAAAGCATTTCTATCTCACCTAGCTAGAAGCATCCTAGGGATGCCTCATATACTGTTCATCTAATGTTATTAATTATCCCTGGGTGGAGATTTTCATAAGATCACATGAATTATCTTCAATTCTTTATAAGAAGAATGTATCACTTTGACAAAAATAATAAAGTCATTGTTCTGGAAAAAATAAGTGTGAAATATGTCTTCAACATGGTGTCTGGAGGCTTGTCAGTTGGACTTAATAAGAAAGCCTAAAGGACATGTGTCATGTTGGAGGAATGTGCACTAATAAGCTGGACTTCAAACTGAGCAAAAGAAAGGACATACCGAAGTTCACAAATAGTATCATGGGATAGGACTTACAACTTCGAACTAACAGCAACCTGGATGCAACTTGATCTACAGATTCCACACAACCCCAACCAGAATTTCAGCAAGTTATTTTGTGGATATAGGCAAATTGATTCTAAAGTTTTCTTTTGTTAAGACTTTTTTAAAAGTAATCTCTACACCCAGCGTGGGGCTCGAACCCGCAACCCCAAGACCAAGAGTTGCATGCTTTGCCGACTGAGCCCGCCAGGTGCCCCTGATTCTGAAGTTTATATGGAGAGGCAAAGGATCCAGAATCACCAACACAGTATTGAAGGAGAAGAACAAAGTCGAAAACTGATATCATCCAACTTCAAGACTCAGTATAAAGCTTCAGTAATCAAAACAGTGCGGTATTGGCAAAAGACTAAGACAAACGACCAACAGAATCAATAGAGAAGCGAGAAATAGACCCATATGAATACAGGCAGCCGGTCTTCGACAAAGGAGCAAAGACAATACAAGAAAGTGAGGACGATTTTCTCAAAAAATGGTGTTGAAATAACTGGACATCCACATGCAAAAAAAAAGGAATCTAGACACAGACCTTACACCCTTCATAAAAATCAGATCCTACCTAAATGTAAAACACAGAACTATACATCTCCTACAAGATAACATATAAGAAAATCTAGATGACCTAGGGTATGGTGAGGACTCTGTGTACAATGCTAGAGGTATGATCCATGAAAGACACAACTGAGAAGCGGGACTTTACTAAAATGTAAAACTTCTGTAGTACCGAGAGGCAATGTCAAGAGAATGCAGACAAACCACTGAGTGGGAGAAACTGTTTCTAAAAGATACATCTGGGGGTGCCTGGGTGGCTCAGTTGGTTAAACATCTGACTCTTGATATCAGCTCGGGTCTTGATCTCAGGGTCATGAGTTCAAGCCCTGCATTGGGCTCCACTCTGGGCATAGAGCCTACATGAATGAATGAATGAACGAATGGCTGTTATCCAAAATACACAAAGAACTCTTTAAAACTCAACAATAAGAAAACTAACAACCTGATTACAAGGTGGGCCAAAGACCTGAATGGCACCTCAGCGAAGAAGCTACACAGACGGCAAGTAAACATACGAAACAATGTTCAACATCATGTCACAGGGAATCGTAAATTAAGGCAACAATGAGATTTCACTATACAACTATTAGAAAGGCCCAAATCTAGAACACTGACAATACCGAAGGCTGGTGAGGGTATGGTGTAACAGGAACTCTCATTCATTACTGGTGGGAATACAAAATGGTACAGCCATTTTGGAAAATTTGGCAGTTTCCTATAAAACTAAACATTACTCTTACCATATGATCCATCAGTCATGCTTCTTTGGGTATTTAGCCAACAGAATTGAAAACTATGTCCATGTGAAAAGATGCACACAGATGTTTACAGCAGCTTTATTCATAATTGCCAAATCTCCGAAGCAACTGAGATGTCCTTCAGTAGGTGAATGGATAAATAAACTGTGGTATATCCAGACAATGGAGAATCGTTCAGCACTAAAAAGAAGTGAGCTATCAAGTCATGAAAAGACATGGAGGAACCTTAAATGCATATTACTAAGTGAAAGAAACCAATTTGGAAAGGCTACGTACCGTATAAATCCAACTATCTGACATCCTGGAGAAGGAAGAACTATGGAGACAGCAAAAAACCAGTGGTTGCCAAGGGTTAGCAGGGAGGGAGCATGAATAGGCAGAGCCTAGAGGATTTTGAAATCCTCTGGCAATGAAACTATTCTGTGTGATACTGTAGTGATGGATGAATGTAATTATCCATTTGTCCAAACCCATAGAATGTATAACACCAAGAGAACCCTAATGTAAACTATGGACTTTGGGTGACAAAGATGTATCAACGTAGGTTCATCGATTCTAACAAATGTACCACTCTGGCCGGTAGTGGGGGAGGTTGTGTTGGTGGGGTGGGGGTACGGGGCCAGACAGAAGGTGTATAGGAACTCTTTCTGCTCAATTTTGCTGTGAACCTAAAAGTGCTCTAAAAAAATAAAGTTTTGTGGTTAAAAAGAAGAAAAACCAGCCTAGATGTTTCTAGGAATTAGAGATGGTTCAGTAGAAGTGAGGCACAGTGAAGGAGGAGTGGAACGAGGCTGGAGGGGATGACCAGCACGTGTCCTGTGGGTAATGGAGTCACTGAGGAGTGCTGAGCAAGGAAGGGGGCACATGCCTTAACAAGGGCACTGTAGCAGCTCTGTGGATGGGGAATGGAGAGGGTGGGGTGTGCTTGGGAAACAAGCAACTACTGGCGGAGTCGAGATAGGAGTGGAACTGTGAGGTTCTAACCTGAGACAGTGGCGGTGGGGCTGGATATGCAACAAGGAGACAGAACTCTCCAGAGTTTGGTCCTGATCAGCAGAGGCTGAGAGAAAAGACAAGAGCCCTCCGAGGCTGCCACAGTCATGGCAGGAACTAGAGGTGCTTCTGGAGAGAACGGGTGGAATGAGCTCGTGACACTCGGGTGTACAAACTAGGGCTCAGGCGAGAAGTGTGGGCTGTGTGCATAGGTTGGAGGTGACTTGGCCCCGGGTGGAGAGGACAACACAGGACTGAGATCTTGCAGGGAGAGTGTTTCTCCCAGGGAGAGAGAAAAGAAGAGAGCCCAAGGCAGGACGGGTAGGGGAGACCAATGTTTTGGAGACAGGCAGAAGAAAATACTACAAAGGAGACAGAAGTGGAAAAGAGGAGTTTCAGGAAGGGAATAGTGAGTCTCACAGAAGCCAAGTGCTACAGAGAGAGAAGGGGACTGAAAAGTAGTGATTTTGCCACCTTTTCACATGGAATCAAGCCCTCCTCCCTTTTTTCTTGTTGAAGTCCACCTTTCAAAAAGGTAAGTGAATAGCACCATGGGATGGGATGATTTTTGAATTTTTGAAGAACATATATTAGCTGGAGCAAAGAAGGATGAATATACATTTTGTAAAAACAAGTATTTTTATTTTTATTTATAAGATTTTTCAGAGAGAGAGAGAGAACGAACACAAGCAGGGGGAGGGACAGGCAGAGGGAGAAGCAGACTCCCCACTGAGCAGGGAGCCCGACGTGGGACTTGATCCCATGACCCTGGGATCATGACCTGAGCAGAAGGCAGACGCTTAACTGACTGAGCCACCCAGGTGTCCCAAAACAAGTATTTTTAAAACTAACTCCAAACTTCTTGACTAATAATCCAATAATCATTGAGCAGGATGTGACTTAGCCTCAATAAGAGAACAGTGAAATAAATGGCATATCCACACCATGGAATATCAGCCATTAAAAAGGATTAGAGCTACGCCAGCTGACTTGAAGAGAACTCTGGGACATACTGAGTAAGCAAAGCAACAAATGAGTGCCTGTAATATGACAGCATTTTTGATAAAGCAATGACAAAAATCTTGATTTATGATTATGATTAGAGAGCATGGAGGAGACCGTGGAAAGACACACAGGAAGGGAGTAAGCAATGTGGAAGAGGGAAAAGTCTGCAAAAAGAAACGCAGGAAAGTAAGACAGGACACTAAGCAGCATGTAAGAAATAAGGTTGTTTTTTTTTTTAAGATTTATTTATTTTAGAGAGAAAGAGACAGAGCGAGCATGAGTGGGAGGGGCAGAGGGAGAGAGGATTTCAAGTAGACTCTGTACTGAGCGTGGAGTCTGATGTGAAACTCAATCCCACGACCCGGAGATCAGACCTGAGCCGAAACCAAGACTCGGACACTCAACTGACTGCGCCACCCAGGCGCACCAAGAAATAGTTCTATTTATACATTTATATAAAACTTGTGTGTAGATAAAAAAGAAATTACCAAAAAAATATGAACACAGCAAAATGACTTAACTCAAACCTGCACTGGGTTAACTGAGTGCCGAGTGTGGCCCTGATCAGTGGCAGCTAGCTCCCGTGGGCCAGTAAGGGGCCTGGCTGACCTCCCAGGAGAACCGAGGACATCCACAGGGGAGGTGACACCGTGATGGCATCTGGACAATGTGCAGCCAGCTGGGGAGACAGAAAAAGGCAACAAGGGTCTCATCGGATTCTAGGCAAAGTGCAGGGATGGGGAGAAAAGAGGAATCTGGGAAAGCTGGGAGAGAATGTGAGAGAGAACAGGGCCAGTGGGGACAGGTGACCAGGAGGCCCCCGAAGGCCCCTCAGGGCTGCCTAATGAGTACGATGTGGTTAGAGGTCTCTTGAGTTATGGGGGAAGAGAAATCTGGAAATTTAAGAATGACACCAAGTATAGCAAAGTTCTTATCAACCATCATACACACTTTTAATTGCAAAAGTAAAAACTTTCATTTACATACATTCTTTACATGGCGAAGTCTTTACAAGTTTGCAGTACATTAAGTTATCGTCAACATTCTGCACCGAACACGTATTAGAACAGCGCATACCATCTGGAGCATGCGTGGTTGGGACCGGTGTCTGTCTCCCTCGGCCTACTGGAACCTTCCCTGGTTCCCTTGAAGATGCACGGCAGCTGTCCCAACGCCTGTCCCTGACGAGGGTGGGGAAGAAGCTGAGCATTAGCTGCTGGCTTAGCTCAGCCCCTCCAGTCTGCTCCCCCAGCCTAGGCGTCTGTTACTGATCCTTCCAAAGGAGGGAGGGAGAGAGACCACAGCCAACATGTTTCTGAGGGGGACACTATGGCAACAAGTTGGGGGGGGGGGAAGTTGCCAGTCATGATGAGACTAGGGGTTCTTGGGAATGCCATGTGTCTGTCTGATCCTGTCACAAATTCTTGTGGATAAGAGAGAGTTTGTTTCTGAAAGGGCCAAAAGTGTCCTGAGGAGCTGGAATTTGGAGGCTGGGACACGGCTGATCTTTGAGTAAAAGTGGCTTCACAGGATGACCTCACCTACCCCACAGAGCTGTTGTGAGGAAATGAGGTTAACTAAGCTTGGCACAGCTGATGGCCTGACTGCCCAGTTTCTGTTTGAAACTCTAGACTGGTTTCCCTTCTCTGCTCAGGTGCCTGCAGCTGGGGCTCATGCTTGGATCCATGCTGCCGACTGACAGACGCACTAAGTGGAGGGGAAATGGTCTCCGGGTCAGCCCCAGCCCCACCATGTCTGGACGGTTCCAGGCCTCCACTAGGAGTTACATAACATTTCTTCTCTCCACTCTTCTGAAAAGCTCTAGACATTTCCCAGTCTCCGGAGAGAGGAAAATGACAGATGTATTTAGCTCTAATGCTTAAATTATGCAGGGCAGGGAAACCAGACACTAAGGGGCCTGGACAAGAGACAAGCTGGCTGGACGGTTTCTCACAAAGGCCAGTGCATAAAACCATACTGTGTCCAAGGGTGGGCCGACCTGGGTGTGGTGCAAACAGGGGAGCACCTGTCTGTCTTCTTGGGAGATGCTTTTGTGGAAGAAGCCACTAGATATCAGGAGGCTGGGGCTGAGGAGGCCAGGGAGATGCTGATGGCGACACAGCGTATTCCTAGAGCCTCCCATTTTTCATTTGCTACAGGGCTATCCCCATAAGCACTGGCACCTTCCAGCCTCCTGGCCCAGACACCCATCGGCGCTGTGTACAACATGCATAGCTCTGAACAGAGAGAATCTCAATCTAAAACGCCATTTAAACCAATATTGCACTGTATGTTAACTAAAATTTAAACTTAAAAAAAGGGGAGAAACACCATTTAAAGCACATCCCACATTGCTTTCCTTCTTCTAATTTTAGTGGGTGATGGGTCACCACTGTAAGTTAATGAGTGTGAACTCGTGAACTCAGGAGTTTCTCCTCCATCACTAGGAGAGCTCAAAAGCCTAAAGGACCCCTCTGATTAAGAACTGATTCTCAAGAGGTAGTCATGATCACTTCTCTCCATGTAACCAGACAGCTTTGGCTCTTTCCCCTACAACTTGGCCTTCTCCTGTGGGCAAGGATTAGGTAAGAAGTGAACATTTGCTTTGGGGTTTTGAATGTTCATTATGGAAGCCACTGGTTAAGGAGCAAACTCTCATCCCACACTATATTAAAATGAGTGAGGCCATTACCTGCAGCGAAGGAGACTGAGAGTTTTTAAAAACAAATTGCTCCTACACAGAGGTCTATGCTGGATTTGGGAAGAAGGGACGAGAAAATGGAGAGCTGACAAACAAGTGAGGTAAACTCTAAAGGGAGCCACAACTGGAACTGGGCAGAGTCCCTCTTCTGGTCACACATCTGGAAACGTGTGTGATGGGAAAATGGCTGGACACAGTTGTGTTCCAGCCACGCTCACTCTTAAAGAGCTTTCAAATGGGGAGGGAGAAAGTGAAAGATTTTTATAAAAGTCATCTGGTTAGATTCTCTCCTGTTCCGTTTCTGTCCAAAACAATCTTGAAAACAAACCCTGAAGAGTTCCTGGCTTGCTGACCCTCTCCCGAGGTCCTCCTGACCCAGTGCAGACACGCCCCAGGCAATTAAACCCACAGCTTCGCTCTCGGGCACCACACTGTGCTGAGGCAGGGAAACAATGTGCTGCACAACCAACTACCTACTGACCTGCAGTTAACTGTTCTAAGCCCTGTAAAATGTTTCCTGTAAAATGAGGATCTAACACCTACTTGACAGGACTGAGTAACGATTAAAGGAGATCACGGAGATTGAGGCCCTCTTAGAATGGACTGGACAAATGTTACTATTCTTTCCCTCAGAAAATGAGTCCAAATCTGCCCATTTCTTAAACTGTTTTGTTCTTCACAAAATAAGTAGATTCTGTGTATTTGTTTTTTTAAGATTTTATTGTTATGTAATCTCTTCACCCAACATGGGGCTCACACTTACAAGCCCTGAGATCAAGAGTGGCATGCTCCACTGATTGAGCCAGCCAGGCGACCCTAGATTCTATGTTCATAAACCATAATATTTGACTCCCTCCCTTCCCTAAGAAAATTGAGTGTGGGGAGAGGATAAGTTCTGCCTGAACAGGTGTAATGTCTTGTCAATACTTGGCCCCTGCTGACGTCAGGGCATCTGGACATAAATGTTTCAAACTGGTGCCAAAGCAGCCTTTCTCCCCAGAGAGAGCTGGGGATACAAGTCTCTACTCTGGGTGCCTACAAGAAAAGTGAACCTAACCCACGTGTGGAGGTCACCACCATGTCACCTCTTCGTAAACACTCGAAAACTTGTGAGCATTTTGTTCTTCTTGTGGTGGAGGTGGGGGGTTGGTTAGGTAGTCCCACCATGTCCCCCAACCCTTCCTCCTCATCTTGATGACCCTCTTTTGCACACAGGGTCATGCGGAGGGACTTCTGCTGCTCCCATGAGAGCTGGGTGAGCAGCACCCTCACACAAAGTCTCGGGCTGCCAATCCAGGCCATTCCTGAGGGAAGCCATTCCTGTGTTCTGCTTATCAGAATTGCCTTCAGAAGAAGGCAAATTACTTCTACGTATCCAGTAATTAAGAGCTGAAAACTCTCTTTGGAAAATTTCTCCCTTAACAGAAATTGACCTTCAATTCTGAACAGGATAGATTTTAAGCTTAGGAAATGCACGAAAATCTGTTTCTTTGCGGCCACACCATTTTTTTGTTGCATTGTAGACAGCTCAGGGGCTTAGGGGACTTTCCAGGAGATGCCTCAGAACAGCAACACATGCCAAGGGTTTCTCAGTTTTCAGTTTTGAGCTGAAGTGGATATTTTATGAACATTTAAGGTGAGAAGGGCAGGAGTGAAATGGGGAAGGAACACAGGGTAATTCATAAAGACAAAACAGAAATCTCAATCATCAAAACAGTTTCTTTTCCTTCTAAGAAACCCTCTTTTGTTAACCCAAAGGGCCCAACTGAAGAAAACTCTAAGGAACTTGTTTACATATAATCCTTCTCCATGCACAGCAGGGGTAAGGACACTGCAAAGGCTCGAAAAGCTTGCACAAAGCTGGCCTTGAAATGATCCCTCTGAAATAAGACCTCTTAAATCATAATTGCTCAGCAGCATGACTTTTATATGTACAAAAAATTTTGTTTTTCCTGTATTAACCCACATAAGGCGCAGACTTGTTTAAGGAAAAATTCCCTCAGGTACCGTTTATCCTAATTTCATTCAAGTCCATGGAGGCCGATTATTTCCACCCTGAGCTCTGTGAACCATTCTTGTCCTTTACAGGCTCACAAAGCAAGTCTTTCAGTGCCTCTATGATCCCCACGGCTGCTCCTGCTCGGGAGATGTGCTAAGGGAGGGCTCAGGGATAAGGTACAAGGACACCTCCAAGGACGCAGAGGAAGGACCCTGCAAGGAGTCACACCTCCTTCTCTCGCCACTGTCTGCCTCTGGTCCATTCACTCTGCCATGGACACCTGTACTCATCTGATTTCTGAGATTCAGAACCAGGGGCCACAGTCGGGTTTTTTTCTTCAGCTTGGTGACAGCATGACTAGAGGCCAGGTATCTAGCAGCCTCAATAAAGGAATAAAGGGGGAGGAAAAAAGAGGAAGAAAAGTATCCTTATTTATACCACTTGATTAATACATATTAAAAGCACTTGGAGAAAACAATGACCACAGGGAATCACCCAACTGAAAGAACATACCTTTATATTTTTACGAACAATAAAAATACCTCACCTTGTTTCCTAGTACAAAGAGAGAAATCATTTTAAGACCGAAGATCCCAGAGTCGCACACCCAGCTGGCAAACACGTTGGGTCTGGAGTTCCTTCCCCAACCACATTACAACATCAGCTTGACACAGCTGTAAAACATCTTCCCTGCAGAAAGCTGGACCCTAAAGATCAAACCCGGGGAGGCACCCTCTCCCCAGGCCAGCGCTCTAACTCATCCCCTCTGAAGACACTTGGTAAACGCAACCCAGTTGACAGAAACTGTGCTGCCTCAGCAGTAAAGGGCTCTGGACCAGCCAGGGAGGGGGGGACTGGGAGTCCAATTTCTGAGAAACCATCCAGATAGGCAAGCGAGAAGGGAAGGGAGCGGGGGGCATAAGACCCTGATCAAATGGAGGGAAGTATTACCTTAGAAATTACTATTTCCATTACAATCAGACTCCACCCTGGCATCACTGAGACTCCCGAGTCATGGACACTGGGGAAAGCAGTGCCTTTCTCGAGTGCAATGAGATTATTTAATCCTGTTTCACTGGCTTCTAGATTCCATCCTGCTGGGGAAACTGCAATGACTTCTTTAATCAGGCATGGCTTTCCACAGAAGTACAGGCTGGTGTGGCCAGGAAGACAGGACAAGCAGGCTCACCTGGTAAGGGATGGCTCTGACGTCAGGACTTGCGGGCTGCCCTCTCTGTGGCCAGGGAGCCGGCAGAGGGGATCAGACTGTGCGAGAAAGGGAAGGCACCAATCCCGTTTCCTGCCTGAGGGGCAGCCTTGAGGCTGCGGTTCCAAAAGGTGTGGAAGATGGAAGAGCCCAGTCTCTCACAGGCAGGTACTGGCAAAGTCCTGGCCAAGCAGCTATAGGCTGGAAGAGCTGGGAGGGCCAGGCTGTGGCCACGGCCTCCAGCATACGGCTGGCTCATACATGCATGCAGAGGGCAGGTGACTAGGTAGCCTTGGGAAGCGGTTCATTGTTTTTATTTCTCCCCTTTCAGTCTGGTCTTCAGCTCTCTAAGTTGTTCCTCTGTACAGTTCTTGTTTCCTATAGTTCTGAGAGGGTGGTTCCATCACAGACGACCAAAGGCTGGACCCCTCTGGCTATCACGTAGACCTTCCAGTGGGCGGCGCTGGCATAGCCTTGAAGGGAAAGAGCAACAGGACAGCAGGTGAATGTCAGGGACGGGGCACACCTGTGGGCAGGAACAAGGCAGGTCTGCCTCGCATAAACAGCCCCAGTTCTCAGGCTTCTGTGTAACCTGACATCCAGCAGGAGCCACTGTGAACCAAAGCGCCTCATTACCACCACTAGCCTGGGGAACGAGGACCCAGTTCAACAGGTGTACAAAGGCAGGATGCTCCAGATGAGGCTGGAGCTGGGCATCAATTCTCAGGCCCGTGTCATCTTTATCAGCAAGAAGACAGGACAAGTTCCGAGGGGGAGTAGGACCCCCCCCATCCAATTCCCCTAATGTGATCTCTAATACCATCTCATTATAGAACATCCCGATTAGCTCAAACCAACATGTCCTAAATCGTGTTCTGCAAACAGCAGCATCCCGCAAGATAGTCCCAGGAAAATGGGTTCCGTGGTCAAGGAAGTCTGAGAAACACTAGGTTCCACCTAGGCTTCTGGAGCCTTCGGTACACTAATGTGCACTATATATTGACAAGACAGGCAGTTCACAAAATCAACTGACCCAACAGCCATATTTGCCAAGGGCCTTTCTAAGGGGCTCCTGTTCCCATCCCCAAGGGTCATCAGTGATCTGAGGAACGGTTAAGGAAACACTGACCTATATTACAAGTGGCGTAAACGTAAAAGCTTTAAAAACTTGAACGCTTCAATAATCTCCTGATGGAAAATTCTCTGGAGTATGATGTACCTTACCTTTCTTTAAACTGAGAGCACTGAACAGAATTTAACCTCTACTTGGTGACTCAAGAAAGGTCACTCTGGGCAGTGACTCTTCAATCACCGCACACGTGTGGGCTCACCAGCGTCAGCCTCCGAGGCCTGACCCCTACATCGTTCTTGAAAATGCCTCTCACCACGGGTTTTCTGGTGATCTGTGTCCCTGTCCCCTTCCCCTTGGCCTTCAGAGGACAATGTTATTTTGTCAAAAACCACAGAGCCTGCTTGTCACAGCGTGATTCTTAAGGGTCCCTGAGGTGCTGGAGCTGCCACCTGTCCTACAAGCAGCCCTGAATTATCCTCCTTTGCTGTCAGGGTCTGCCTTCCTGTCCTTGTCTTAATTTATTTATTTTTAAAGACTTTATTTATTGAGAGAGAGAGAGAGAGAGCATGATGGCGGGAGGGGCAGAGGGAGAAGCAGACTCCCCGCTGAGCAGGGAGCCCGATGTAGGACTCAACCCCAGGACCCCGAGATCATGACCTGAGCCGAAGAAGGCAGACGTCCTCTTGGTCCTCGTCTTTAACTGTGGCAGCCGCAGCCACGGCTTCTGTTTCTGCCACTGCTTCAGGAGCCGCTGTCCTCCCCAACCCCGCCACCCCGTTCTTCTCCCAGACCTGCGCTCTTCCTCTTGTTCTAGTCAGGCCCCCATCCTTCCCCACATCACTGTCCTGTGGCTGGCCTTTCACGGACATTGCCGCCCACAGGCCTCCTTTCCTTCTGGTCAGCAAACCAGCCAGTCAGAGCATGGCAGGTGATCATCATGCTTTGGATCTAAGGCTTTCTGCACTATTCCCACCAGGCTTTGATGCTCAAATCTCCTTTGATCACTGCCAGTCATCCATTTACTCCCCTTAATTCTATAACTGGCATTCTAGATGTCTGTGGGATCCAGAAACCTAAACTTTGGATAACTGAGGTGTTTCTGCAGTTGTCTGAACTGTCAGGCATTTGTAGAACAGAAGACAGAAACTATTTCAAGCATCACTATACACTCAACCCCAAATGCCACACAGACTCGTGCAATAGTCCTGCCTTATGGAAGGGTCACTCCACTACAGGAAAATAGCTTCAGAACTATTTCTACACAAAAATCCTCTTTTTTGCAGTAATTCCCAAGGGCCAGGCCAGCTGTGCTCCATTATCAGTTAATGCTTAATTTGTGCATTATTTTCATTTCTAAACTGAAAAAAATTATGTACTGTGGATTAAAGCTTGTCAGAGTTCGCAGTCCGGACCCTACTTCCAAATGAGGGGAAAGGTTTCCAGCGACCAGGGTCTTCTGAAGAGGTAAAATTAAAAGAAATCAGTTGGGAAGATCAGCCTGGGCTCTGTCAGGGACGCTAGGCTTCCCCTAGGCTTCGTGAGGCAGAAGAAACACAGAGGGCAATAGTAACACTTGGTATTTGCTTCTGCCAAGAAAACTCTACTGTCAAACTGATTGCTACGGACAGCAGTTGATTCAAACCTGCTTTTTTGGAATAGGCTTTTAGACTATAATGCACAGAACAGGCCACAGTTGGGATATCATGGAGCCAAGGGTGAGTCATGACTATGGGGCGGGCCCCCGGCTGTGGGACCCACACGGAAGGTAATACTTCCCCACGGGGCTGTTGCCCTTGCATACTGCTTGCACTGTTTTACGAGCAAAACAGGCAGAAAAAGCATTTCCTCGAATCTAGAACTGTACCACCCCGGCCTGACTCTGTTGCAGTGGACACGTAAAGCTTAATGCTTTGCCTAGCTGATGGGAACTTGGGATGGTCACCTCTCATCTCTGGGTCTCAATCTCCTCATCTGAAAAATAAAGGATGGCTCTAAGCATTTCCCATAATGCCTTCTAACTGGAAACTTTTAAGACCAATGGACACATCATGCATTCTAAATGTATATACAAGGAAGCATTTCTCTGTGCTATGTTTCCTCCTTAGCATATTGTTCCACCTAAGCATAAATATTGACTCTGCCCATAAAAGAAGCCTATTTTTGACTCTACTTAATTGAAACTTTGTGAAGACAGTATTTAATTCTCACAATCGTTTCTGAGTTGAAAACTACACAGATCCTGCGGCTGACCTTGCCCCCGGGGCCCCACCTACCAATGTCCCCTGGCTCTAGCGGTGTCGCCAGCGACTGGCAGTGTCTTTGGCACTGGGCGGGGGGGATGAGCTGCAACACAGCCTCACCGCTGCCAACAATAAACAGGTCATGCATCCTATGCATCTGGAGGAAAAAAAACAAGGGAGAAGGAAAGGGAAACAAAATAAAAACCAGTGCCATGGGAGATGAACATACAAAAATATATATATGGCTCTGACTTTTCTAGCAGCCTAAGCGAAAAGGAAAAGAGAACCAATGACACAATTCACAATTATGCCCAAAGGACAAAAACCAACTAGTTTCTCCTAAACCTGGCATCTCCTGGTACTGAGACCAGGGACTCAGTGTCCCTATCTCCTGGTACTGAGATCTCTCTGTGGGTTCTCCTAAAGAGACACTGTGATTTAGTGGGAGACTTCCTCAGCCCCAGCCCTAACACAGATCTAGCACGAGCTTCATAATTCACGGCTATTTCTAGCCACAGCTCCAAAGGAGGCTGAAGGCAAATCATCTACGTACAATTTAACAGACGTCTAGGAGAGGCCAACACATAGTGGTCTAAGTATATGATCTTCCAAGGGTCTGGTTGGATCCAGACTTTTCAGAGAAATAGATGGCCTGCATTTCCTTTGGGCAATGTTCCATGGAATAGTACTTCTTGCTGCCAGGGTTTGGAGGAGAACTGAACAGCAGGAAGTTCAAGTTCACACTTCTGGGCAAGACCTGGGTGAACAGATATATCACACTACTGATGAAAAACTAATGACAGTAAGAATGGCCTTAGATTTCGAACCCTAAGAAGGCAGCCAGGCTCTGCGCCCCCACAGTAGCGACTGCACTTGGGAGGGCAGACTACCGCCACCAACGCACAGAGTGCAACCCGCTCTGTGCCAGGTCCGCTGCGAACCCTGGTCTTGGGGTGGGCAGGGAGTAGGGACAAAGGGAGAGGCCGGGCTGTTCTTGCTCAGGCTTTTCTTCCAACCTAGATGGTGAGAGAAAACCTTTAGGGCCTCTCTTCCCTGTCTCCTCCAGGAAAAGCCTTTCTATGCCCACATAACACAAGGGTCTGAAGGCCAGCTCCCCGGGCCACGTCCTGGTTTGCCCTCCAGAGCACTGGGTCCCTCCAGAGCTTTGGTCTGGGCCCTATCTTCTCCTGTCCCCAACCCTGGTGTCTCTGTTGCTCCCACAGCTCCTGGCCAGGATGCTGTTTCCATGGCAACACTAGAGCCATTCAACTGCCAGTGTTGTGACAGAAGGACTAAGGAGGACTAGTGGCTTATGACTGACTGGCAGAGGCCCTGACACCTGCAGTCTTAAAGAAATCCCAGGACACCAAAACCCAGTGGATGTAGCTCTTTTTCATCCAGGCCTGAGAGGGGGTGGGACCATGTGCCTCTACCCCCAGGAGGGGAAGAAACAGACAACGGGATGGAGCAGGCCAGCCCCAGGCGACCCTGTGCACTGGGTGATGTGGGCCTGGGAGCCAGCCCCTCACCTCTTTCCCCAGTGCCTCTTACAATCGGATCCCCACTGCTTATTTTCTATCCCAAGGCTGCCCCACAGACATATGACTTTACCGGGCTCTAGGGCCCAGGGATGTGGACAACAGGGTGGAGTAACGAGGCTGTCGAGAAAGGAGAGCCTGGGCCAGGGCGGGGAGCAGATGCTCTAAGAAACCAGATTCTCAGGATGTTTGCCTATTTGGATCACTCCCCTTCCCAAAACATGCTTGAGAACCACAAGATGACTCTGATAGGCGTCTGAGTAACTTAGTATTTACCTTCTGGCTGGGATCCTCGGTGTTCCTGTTAAGCAGACTGGTGAAATTAACTTCAGATTCAAGTGGGAAAACCAAGATAAAGATAAAAGCTCTCGCCCAGAATTGTATCATCATTATGAAGATGAAATCATACTAGGGCCCTGAGTTCTAGCCGGGGACAGCAGAATAAACTTCTTTAAAATCTGAGGCAAGAGCCCAGCACCTCCACCCTACTGCTGGCAGACAGAAGTTCTTACTTCTAGACAAAATGATTGTTTTTTATAGGCTTTGAAATTCCTTTACCACGATTCAGCAAATTTGGAGCCAAACAATAGTATTGGGAGGTTGAAAACACAACCCGAGGTTGGTAAGGGTCACAGTTTGGGAAATTTCATCCTAGTAATTCTTCCAAACCAATCTAAACTCAAAAACCTTCCTCAGGAATGAGACTCAACAGGAGAGCAATTCAGAGAAAAAAGTAAAAAGACACAACATAGAACAGCTTGACTCAGTCCACTGGCCCCAGAGAGGTAAATGGGGGCTCTGGGTACTTGGCCGTGGACTAAGTGTTGCTATCCAAACTGGTCTGCCTGCCTCAGGCACATCCCGGCCACCCTTTAATCCCCAACCCTCTCAAGCTTTTTGCTTTTCCAGTTCTCCACCTGAAGTTTCTCATTTGTTTATTTCTGGGGAAAGGTAACCTGGAATGGGGGTTGGTGGCAGGGTGAAAAGCCCTCCTATTAACTTGCTGTGTCCTTGGGCAAATCATTCACTCTCTCTGGAGCTCAGTGGCCCTATCCACAAAATGAGTAAGATGGGCTGCTCATTTATAGCTTGCCTGCTGTCTACTTTGAGGTGGGGAAGTCAGACTAACTGCATCCTTGGGTCCCTTTAAATTTCAGGATTTTACTTCCTCATGTAGAAAAGTAGCTTGACCTCAGGTGTCAAGGGCAGGAAACAGATCTGCAAGGTAACGAGACTTTCTGTAAGCATGCCTTTGTGGAAGGGTGGGCCACTGCAGGTCTCCTGGCTAGCAACAGGTGGAGAGAACTGTAGATTATGTGGGTGTCCCTTCAATTTACCTTCTGAGTTGACATGCAGGGAAGGAAGGGATTATGACATCAGCCCAGGTGCCAAAAGAGGAGAATTCTAGACCCAAGTCCTCTCAAAATGTCCTACCTTACTACCCACAATAGGTTCCGGTTGAAGAAGGAAGCACTTTTTTAAAGAGGCATCTTTTGGAAATGGCAGGTAGGTGAAAACAGGAAAAAGCTCACGTAAAATGTGTGCTCTGTTTAGAGGTCTTCTCCTGTAAAAGTTTGAAAGAGACAAAAGCAATTCAGCTGGGCAAGCCAGCTTCTATCTCCATGACTAACAGAGAGCTAAGCAAGGGTGGGAAAACTGTGGGCGGTGGGTAAACAGGGAAAAATATCAGGACAATATCCTAAGTATTAGATTAATGAATAACAGTCATGCCAAATCAATTAATTGTGACATGCACACGTACACACATAACTCCACAGCCAATAATTTGTACATGTGGGTGGGGTGTTTATAAAATCCAGCTAAAACAACATATAGAGGAAGGAAAGAAATGGTCCATTCATTCTATCTTGGAAAAGAGACTGAAGTAACTAACAGCAGACCAGGCGGGAGAACAGAAGGGAGGAGGAGGAGGCAAAAATCATGAACTTTCTTCTAAGGTGGTATGGCATGCAATGGGAAGCCTGACTAGTTAAACCAGAGTATTCGATCAGGCAAATAAATGGCAAATTTTTAAAAAGACAGAAGCATTGAGAAATTATCTAACAAAAAGACCAAAAAAGCAATTTTAATTCTCTTTTGGAATGGTTCTAAAAGGAAACTGGCTTTCCTTCTTTTTTTCTGGAGAGCAACCTTCACCCCAAAAATGGACCATGTTTTCTTTTTATTTTTTTTTAGAGAGAGTGAGCGTGACCGGGGGAGGGGCAGAGGGAGATGAGCAGACTCCCTGATGAACACAGAACCTGATGGGAGGCTCAATCTCATGACCCTGAGATCACAACCTGAGCCAAAATCAAGAGTTGGACGCTTAACTGACTGAGCCACCCACGCGCCCTGACCATGTCTTCTACAGGACACAGGGAGGAAGAGGGAGACAGACCTGGGTTTCAATCCTGGCTCGGTGACCTTAAGCAAGGTACTTAACCTGATTCCCACTTTTCTGATCTAAAAAATGACAGTGATAATTCCTACTTCCTACGGCTATTATGAGCATCACCAGTGAGGAACAGACACTAACCACTAAGGCACACAGCCTGGCACAAACAAGTGCCAGGAAATGAAGTTTCCCTTCTATTCTTCATGCTTTCTCTTTAGCCCTCAACACTCAGGATGCACAAACACAAATGTTAAACATGTCCTCAGAAATAAATTATGATGCTATCGGGCAATCTCAGTGTGTATTTATGGTGACAGCCCTCTTGAGACACCTCTTGGACTCATCACTGGTTTTTCAACAGTGAGGTTCTATCATTTGACTTGAAGAATGCCTACCCAGTGTGAGGCAGGGGAGGGTCTCGGTGGTAGCTAGTATTGTTCTCACACTTGGTCTGCCCGGTTTCTACCACATGCAGGCTAAGTGCCCTCTTCCACACTCACCACGGATAAGGAAATGGGAACCACCGTTCGGGAAAGCAGCGCCACCACTTGTTGAAAAACGCTTCGCTGAAACCTTCCGTTACCTCAGGGTACTGGCACAGGAAACGCTGAAGCTCCTCTGACAACAAGAGCTGTCCCGTCTTGGCAAGGCAGAAAACAAAAGCAAGACAAAAACCAACACAGGATTCCTTCTCAGGCATGTCACAGAGCCTGACGCTTGTGAGCCATTAAACAGATAACCTATCAGTGGGAGAATAAGGCTTCTTGCTCACCTTGATCACCAGAGGATGCAGTCTCTCAAATTTCTTCGGGGTATCTTCCAGGAGCATTACCTTGAGGGGTAATTTCTGGGCACAGCCAGTGCAGTTGGCAGGGATGGGGTCTGACTCATTCTGCTCACAGTTGTTTGTCCACCAAGGGTCAAAGTCTGTGAGAGGAAGGGATATGGAGAAGGCAGATGCAGAACACAGCGGGTAAACTCTCAGCCTCAGCAATGAAAGTAAAAAGGAAAGATACAATGATTTTTAAAAGCTAACGATGATCAGCACTGGTGACCTCCGAAAAGGTACACATGAAGTAAGTAGCCTCTGAGGAGGGTGTAGATGGCACAGGGGAGAGGGGTGGGCAGGAGAGGTATGTTCTTCAGTATATTCTTCTACACTTCATGGAAAATATTTTTTAATATGTATACGTATCTCCTAAGTCAAATCAACTATGTCAACCAGTTGGAGAAGATATTCAGCAACGTGGGGATGGAGATAGAGCTGTCCCACTGTTTTTTTTTTTATAAAGATTTTATTTATTCACTTGACAGAGAGAGAGAGAGAGAGAGCACAAGTAGGCAGAGTGGCAGGCAGATGGAGAGGGAGAAGCAGGCTCTCCGCTGGGCAGGGAGCCAGATGTGGGGCTCGATCCCAAGACCCCAGGATCATGACCTGAGCCGAAGGCAGACGCCCAACGGACTGAGCCACCCAGGCACCCCGTCCCACTGTTTTTTTTTAAAGATTTTATTTATTTATTTGAGACAGAGAGAATGAGAGACAGAGAGCATGAGAGGGAGGAGGGTCAGAGGGAGAAGCAGACTCCCTGCCGAGCAGGGAGCCCGATGCGGGACTCGATCCCGGGACTCCAGGATCATGACCTGAGCCGAAGGCAGTCGCTTAACCAACTGAGCCACCCAGGTGCCCCCTGTCCCACTGTTTTCTAACCCGTGACCCAAATGTCTGAAAGTCTACAGCACATGGGGGAGGGGCAGGCAGAAAGGGTGGTCCCACCATCAGTGATGAGCCCCACTGTGTGTCGTCTCCAAGTGGAGGCCAGGATGACTCTGGGAAAGAGGAGTGAGAAAAGATGGAGAAGAGATAGGACTTCTCATGAGCCCATCTCTGGGGTAAAGTGAATTATATGTGCCCACTAAGTACTCTGTGGGGCATCTGGGTGGCACAGTTGGTTAAGCTTGGGACTCTTGGTTTTGGCTCAGATCATGATCTTGGGGTCATGGGATCAGGCCCAGATGGGCTCTGCGCTCAGCAGGGAGTCTGCCTGAGATATTCTCTCTCGCTCTGCTCCTGCCCCCCGCACCCCCCTTTTGGCTCTCTCTCTCCCAAATAAATAAATAAATCTTAAAAAAAAAAAGACAGTGCTCTGTCCCAGCTCAGAAGTGGGTAGGGACCACTAACCATGGTGTCTAGCCCCCAGGGCTGCAGGTTGGTCAGCAAGGGAAGAATGGCCGACCAGTCCCTGATGTGAGTGCTAGTTGCCTCGCCATCCCCCTTCTCTCGCAGGTCCTCTGCTGAAGAGTTGGCTTGCTCTCTGGATGCAGCCCTTCTCAGTTTCCCTCTGTTCCTTCCCTCTGACACCATTCTGTTTCTAATGTTATTGCATTATTTCTTGTTTGCTTTCTGTTCCACTCTGGGTTTCCTCTGTGTTCTCTGAGATATGTGCTTATGATAAACTCTAATTTGGATCCAAAATTTTCACAGATGGTTTCTGATTAAAACCCAATGGAGACCAAATCGGGAGAAAGCCTAGAACAAAAGACAAACAGACCACCAAATGTGGCTGAAATTAAGTCAATTCTCTGAACCAATCAACACACTTGGAAACTGACTCCTAACCACAAAACATTTGCTGCAGTCGACAGCAAGTGCCCTTTCCTTGTTTTCTTAAGGCAACAGTAGTGGGGCGGAGGAAATCCCCACCAGGGAAGGACTGCATTTGTTCTTAGCTTGTCTCCTGAGCACCCTCCAAACACCCTCCATCTCTTACAGACAGAACCTGTTTCCTTGAGGCAGCTGCCACCTCCCCTCCTCACGTGCCTCAGTTGTGGGCAGACTGCCAGCCAGGGGACCCTCTGCTGCCCCCTTATCCTGCCAGGGGCCTCCAGGGCCAGCCAGGAACCCTCCTGTGGCACCTGTTTCAGGTGGCACACCGAGTCTGCAAAGTTACGCTTTTTTCTTCTGGGATTTTTTTTTTTTGAGATAGAGGGGGAGAGAGAGAGAGAGATTATGAATGGGAGGTGGGGGCAGAGGGAGAGAGAAAGAATCTTAAGCAGGCTCCATGCCCAGCACAGAACCCGATGCAGGGCTCAATCTCATGACCCTGAGATCATGGCCTGAGCCAAAATTGAGAGTCGGACGCCTAACCAACTGAGCCACCCAGGCACCCCTCTTCTGAGATATTTTCAAATGTTCCTAATTAGAGGTCAAATACAATGAATTCTTGCCCAAATACAAGCACTTTGGGTAATGGACATACAATGAGGCATAAGTAATCATAACAGTATGTTACAATTATATAGTATTTCAGTTTCCAAAGTCCTTGTGAGGGAGTTCTAAGGAAGGAAGGGGAAAGGACATCGACGTGCTAAATGCCAGGCCCTGGGCTGGTCATGTTCACATGCTCTATCATTTACTTTTTACTATATGATTATCGAGGAGGCAGTGCTCTTCTCCCATTACAGATGAGCAAGCGGAGAGTGAGGGGCTACAGCAGTAACCAAGGCACCAGAGTGTGTTGGGAAGAGCACAGTGGGACAGTGGGACAGCTCTATCTCCACGGGTGGCAGTAGAAACGAAAAGTAGGATGGCTGTGATGAGGGCTTCCAGGCTCTGACTCTGAGCAAAACAAGAAACCAGCAAAGGCCTTTGGGTAGTGGTTTCCAATGCTTTAGGAAGGTTATTCTGGGCTGTGACTAGAGTGTCCGAGAAGAGAGAGGCTGGGAAGAGGAAGACTGGGTTGTACTTTGTTTTTGTCCTTTTTTGGGGGGCGGAGGTTGTACCGTGATGAGAGGTGACATATAATGAGAGGTAAACTGAGGCAGTGACGGCACAACCTACAGATCTAAAGAATGCTATGTGCTGAGATTGCCCAAGCACGCCTCACCTAAGGGGGCCCGGAGACAGGAGATGCTGGAGACCTGCAGATTGATCATGACGTGTTCCTGCAGGGATGTGTCCTATTCCAACTGAGTCAGTTAATTATGGCAATTTCTCCAGGAGGTAAGAGTCAAGTGTCAGGAGAAAGGGGCATCATAATGTATACAAAGGTGCTTTAAGGGCTAGGGGCTAGCAGTGAGCAGTTCTGAACCTAAGAGCACAGAGAGATCATTTTAGCTGTGACTTACTGAATTTCAGTTTTATTCTGAGCTTAAGACACTCCTGGGATTTCCAGGTAGAGATGCCCTGAAAAGCAGGCGGAGGAAGAAAACCCCAGGAAGGAAAAATCAGGAAAGAAAAAGAGAGACGAGAGTACTACAAAGAGAATTTAATAAGGTGGCAGAATGTAAGGCATACACATCTAGACACATGAACATCAATTACCTCTTCCTCTCCTAGCTACAGTCATTGCAAAGCTGAAATGGAAAATGGCCTCACTCATTACTAGCAGTAAGCTTCACAAGAAAGGTAAATCTATAGAATTTGACTGGAGGACATAAAATAAGACCTGAATAAATAAACATATCATACCGTGATCCTGGATGGGAAGACTAAATATTAAAAAGAGGCCAAGTCTACCCAAAGATCTATTTAGCAGAACTTGGATAGTCTCCCATCAGAGTTCTTACTGGTGAAGGTAGGGGTGGGGTGGGGCTGTGACAATCTCATTCTAAAGTTTATCTAGAAGAGTAAATGTGTGAGAACAGCAACAGGCAATAATCCATCCCCTGCCCAAATTAACTCTGGAAATAATTTCAGAGCCAGAGGTGTCCTTGGTTATACAAATGACTTACAAAGTCTGGTCGCTGCCTCAAATCTATGGAGGACATCCCCCCTTGGGCCCAGATACCACCGGAGAATACAGTAAGAGCCTATGTCACAGGCCCTGCGCAGATGGTGGACCTGAGGACCCTCACCCCTGACTGCTCACGGGTCACTGGACGGCTCAAGCTCTCCCCATGCTGGGCGTGAAGAGGGAAGGACTGGAGGGAAAGGGCATTATTCTGCTTTCTCTGTGTAGATAAAACATTAACAAAAAACCTCAGCTTTACTGAGATTTAATTCCTAGATCACAAAATTCATTCATTTAAAGTGTACAATTCAGGGGCACCTGGGTGGCTCAGTCGGTTAAGCAGCTGACTCTCGATTTCGGCTCAGGTCATGATCTCAGGGTCCTGGGATCAAGCCCTGAGACAGGCTCCATGCTCAACGGGGAGTGTGCTTGAGATTCTCCCTCTCCCTTCACACCTCCCCCCCCATTCATGCACGCTCTCAAATCAATAAATCTTAAAAAAAATAAACTCTGTAATTCAGTGGCTTTTAGTATATTCACAGAGTTGTAGTAACTATCGCTATTATCCAATTTTAAAACATTTTCATCACCCTAAAAAGAAACCCTGTACCTATTAGACACTTTTCCCATTCTAACCCCTCTCCTGCCAGCCCTAAGCAACCACTAATCTTTCAGTCTCCATGGATTTGCCTATTCTGGTATTTCAAATAAACGGAATTGTGCAATATACGGTCATTTGTGTCTGGCTTCTTTAATTTAGCCTAATGTTTTCAAGGCTCATCCATGTTACAGTGCATATCAGTTGACTTTCCTTTCTATTGCCAAGTAATATTCCGTTACGTGGATATACTACGTTTTGTTTATTCATTCATATGTTGCTGGACATTCCTACTTTGGGGCTATTATGGACAACGCTCCTGTGAATATTTGCATACAAGTGTTTGTGTGGACATGTGTTTTCAATTCTTTTGTGTACATACCTAGGAGTGGAATGACTAGGTCATTTGGTAACTCTGTGTTTACTTTTCTGAGGAACTGCCAAACTGTTTTCCAAAGCAGCTGCAATATTTTACGTTCCTGTCATCTGCCTATCTTTCTTGGAGAAATGTCTATTCAAATCTTTTGCCCATTTTTAATTGGGTTGTCTATTATTGAACTTTAAGAAAATAAATTCTTGAAAAAGAAAAAATAATGAGG